CCCGCGGGCAGGGGCGCCGCAGGAGGATTTGGCCCACCGCGGCCCTTTGCCGAGCGCGCAGCGGCGCGATGGGCCAAAGCAGTCGAGATGCGCGAGGAGAGCTGGACGGACACGGAGCCGACGCGCGCAGAGTATAGCGGTTCATGAGCGAGTTGGAAGGAGGTAGTTGGGCGGAGGCCGCCAACGACCATTGCAGCCGTATCCAGTCGGCCAAGCGCTTCGCGCACGAGCACGGTGGGCTTCCGCCCGACTGCGAAGATGATGGCGACGTGGACGGCTCCAGTCACAGTCACTCCAGCCCTGGCGGTCAGCAGGGGCGAGCACAGCCTCCCAGCGCCGAGGCCACCCAGCATGGCTGGCCAGCCCTCGTGCGCTCAGTGGGCAGCACTGGAGGCATTGGCAGCGGAGTGCCCTGAGGTCTTGCCGCTAGAGGAAGCTGCCGCCGAGGCGCTCCCCGAGGCCGAGTCGGAGGGCGCAGCCTTCGCGGCCATGCGCGGGCGAGATTTTCACAGGCTGGATTCAGCGGTCCACGGCGGCAGGCGGAGGGGGCCTTCACGCCTGCCGTCGTGGTCCTCGGGGCTGGGCGTTGGATGGCAAGTTCGAAGGGGCGCCTGCCCGCGGCCCAGCTCGCGCGAGAGCGGTCGCCGCCCAGGTTTGGCGCACTCGCGCCGAAGGCGATCGTTTCCGCCCGAATCGCCCGCCCGGCGTCGCCCGGGCCTTGCCCGGGGCCTCCGGCCGATCGAAAGGGTCCGCAACGCGGCCGAGACCTTCCGCCGCAGCATTGGGGCGGGCAGTGACCGCCTCAACCCTCGGAAGACAGCGGACCTGGGCGACGGCGCTCCGGAAGCCGTCATCCACTTTTGCATGAAGTGCGAAGAGCTAGGCTTGCTGGGCAGACGTGATTACCGACTCGCTCGTGGTCGTGCTTCCCAGGCCCCACGGCGGCTTTCGGCCCATTGGGCGGCTCGGGTGGCCCCCCCGCCTTTGGGGCCGCGCGCGTCAGCCTGGCCCTCGGCGGCGGGGCTCCAAGGTCGACCCAGGGCGCAGGCGACCCAGGCCGTGGCCGCGCAGCTGCGTGCCTTGAGCTGCAAGGTCTCGGAGGCCTAGAGCGAGCTTTTCGCCAGCTCGCCTGAGCTAGCGTTCTTGGTCGCCAAGCAGATGAGCGGCGTGGCCCTCCCAGTTGCCGACTCCGCCAAGAACCTGGGCGCGGGCTATTGTCTCGACGGCCAGGCTTCCGTCGTCTTCGAGGCGCGCCACGCGAAGGCGGCTTCGCAGCTCCAGCGACGCCATGCCATTCGCCCCCAGGAGATTCTTTTCGGCGGTGCGAGTGGCCAACGCCGCCCTGCGCCCAGCCGCGCGGAACGCGCTCGGCATGGTCGGCTGGCCGACGCCGCAGTTGGTCGAGTGGAGGCGGCAAGTCGCTTCCGCGCACCACGGGCGAGGCCCCGGCAAAGCCTCCGCCTCAGCTTCCTGCTCAGCAAGAGGCTTTCGAGCGACCCATTCCTGGGCCACGTCGCGCTGCCCATCGCCGCGCGGGCGAGGGCGGCGCAGTTCAACTCCGGCGGCAAGGGCCCGAGGGCCATGGGCAGCGCCTTCGCTGGGGCCATCGCGATGCCAGTGGAGATGGGGCCCGAGGCGCTCGTGGGCAGGGGTCCAGCCTCGGCGCGCGCCCTGGCGCGCCGCCGCCTGGGCTGGACAGCGGCGCGGCCAGGTTTGTTTACCAGCGACCTGCAGCGCGAGCTGGACCCGCGGCCCCTGGGCGCGCCCACCATGGCACGCACTGCTGCAGGCCAGGAGCGAGCGCCGCGGCGAGAAGCGGGCAAGTTTCTAGGCCTAGAGCACTTGTCTGAGGGAGGCGCGCTGTCCAACATCAGGCGCGCTCTCCATCGCAAGCGCATCGGCATGCAGACGGCCAAGCAGCCCAGCTCGGACAATAATGTGCTGGTCGGATGCCTTTGGCCCTCGGCCAGATGTTTCGAATCTGACCGACCGCTGGCATATCCTCCACGGTGCCCTCGAGGCTGCAATGCCCGCGGCATGGTGAGGCATTCGGCGCGGCAGTGTCCCGCGACGGCCTTGGGCCGCGCGGAATTGGAAGCCAACGGCGACGGCGACGAGCGGCGCCCGCCCGACGACATTAATGTCAGGGCGACCGTTGACTTGGCCAGCCTCTCAATTTCACGGAGGACCCGCTGCGGCGGCGCGCGTGCCCCTGAACGCAGGAGGGCCCCACCTCCGCCCACAGGGGACAGGGCCGCTCTGAAGGAGGGGCGAGCTGACCTCGTTGGGCAACCACTCACTGGCGATCTTCCGACGGCAGCACAGAGGATCCTGGCCTGTTCTCGCGCGAGGCGGCTGGGCAGTGGTGGTCATGGGCCAGGGCGGAGAGGCCATCTGCCCGTTCGGGCCGACGCCCTGGCCCCATCCTCTGGAAGCAAACGCGGCAGAGCTCCGCGTGGCCATCGTGGGCAGCCAGACCTGCCGACCGCCCATCAAGATCTGCACTGGCTGCAAGCTGCTCGTGGCGGGATCGATGCTGGCAAGGCTTGGTGCCTGCAATGGCAGCGTTCGCACTGGGGGCCCAGGGCGCGCCTCGGGGCGGTCATCGACGACGTGGGCCGCGACGACCTGTCCTTCCACCAGGCGTTGCGCACGCGGCGCTGGTGGACGTCCAGGCCGATCGCGTCGCGGAGTGGCGGCGCCGTGGCAACCGCCGCGCAGGTGCACGCGCCAGCGAGGGGGGCTGCGCGCGCCTGGCCGACGACGCCCTCCGCGAGCGGAGCGCCCGCCAGGATCGGCTCGCCAGGACGGTATTCTCCCGGCTGGGTGCCGCCATGCGGGTGGGCGACGCCGAGCTGACGGGCGAGGGCGGCCGAGGCCATCTCGGATTCTCGCGCCGCTGGCGGGGAGAGGGGAGGGGCTCGGGGGCGGTCTCAGCGGCGGCGGCGCTCCTCGCAGCGGGCGCAGCACTGCGTTCCAGCCTGGCCAGCGGCTCGCAGGGCGGCGCGCCAGTGGCAGGAGGCGAAGGGGATGATGGCGACTGCGGTCCAGCTGCCGACGGAGTGGCCGTCGCCAGCGGAGGGCGCGTCGCCAGCGGGCGCCCGGGCCGAGGGCGGCGCAGCGGTGGCAGCCAGCGGCGCGGCCGCCCCCGCCGCGGCCACCAGAGTTGCCTGTGTGGCGGAGGATCGACACCCGCGATTCTCACGAGCTGTGGAAAGCGGGCAGGGCAGTGCGTCAAGTGCGGTTACTGGGCGCAGAGTGTCAGGACGGCGGGGATCGCGGCTCGCGAAGCCGTGCCCACGGGCCCCGAAGAACGACAGGCAGCAGGCTGTGTTGGGGAGGCTCTAGTGTGGCCTGCGGCCAGCGGGGAGGGGCAGCATCGGCGACCCTGAATCTCAACGGCGCCTGCGTAGACGCGTGGACGGCTAGGCCCGCGCCCGCGCATTCTCTTCTACGCGCCACGAATCATGCGCGTAGGTTCGCTGACGCACAGGTTCGAGTCCGATGCCCTCGGACACGCAACCAGTCCAGTGTTCGGCCAGGAGCCTAAGGGATGAGTTGCGCTGTTGATGGCCAGGTGTATCTAACGCAGTGCGCATGGCTATCGATCGGCACGCGCTGCTAGCCTCCGCGCAGTTCGCTATGAGCGGAGAATGAACCAGGAGTTCAAACTCGCTGGCGCTCGGAATTGGGCCCGATGCCCACGGCAATGCAGCCAGTCCGTCGGGGCCAGGTGGCTGAGGGGCGAGTTGCGATGCTGTCGGCGGGGTTCATATGTCTGTCCAGTTGCACGGCCTCGATCGGTGCGCTGCCCTTTCGCGCCACGGGCGCTCTGTGCGGAAGTCGAACCGGACGTGTAGGTTCGCGTGCAGACGGGATCGAGCTCCGATGCCAACGGCAAAGCAACCAGCCCACGTGTTGGTCAGGAGCCTTAGGGCGAGTTAGTTTGCTGGTGGTGAGGGGCTGACTTGCCGCAGTGCGCATGGCGTCGCTCAGCGCGCGCTGCTCTTTCGCTTCTTGCGGCCCGTGCCGCGGAGGCGAGTGCCAATATGTCTGGCGCGGGGCGACGCTTCATGCAGCCGTTCTGCGCACGGAAGCCGAACCAGGGGTGAAGGTTCGGCCTCATTCGGCATCGGGTTCCGACGTACGAGCGAAGCAACAATGCCCGGGGGTGGCCTGGAGAAAAATGTGAATTGCTTCGCCGGTGCTGAGGGCGTTATTCCGCTTTGCCGCGAGGTGCGCCGGCGTGCGACGCTCTGGCCCGCCGCCGCGCTTGAGCGGAAACCGAACCAGGTGTGCAGGTCCGCTGGCGCACAGGATCGGGCTCCGATGCCCTCGGCATCGCAATCAGTCCAAGGGGCCAGGTACCAAGGGACGAGTTGCGCTGCTGAGGGAGAGGTGAAGTCTTGCGCTCGCCTATGGCGCGTCTTCGCGGGGTGTCCTGCTTTCATGTAGCTGCTGTCGCGCTCTTCCCACGCTGCGGATTTGTCCCCGCTGGCCTGAGGGGCATCCGTGTCGGTTTGGGGTGGCTCTGGGCCATGGACAGGTTGTTTCTCAGGTGCTGTGTGCATCCACGCTGCGTGCCAGCCCGCTAGATCGAGCAGCTGAGGCTTTGTGCTTGTTGCCGAGCGTGCTGATTCGCTTTGATTGGTCGGGTCGGTCGCCCGCGTGTTCCTTCTGAGGCGGATGGCTGCTCTTGTCACTCGAGTGAACTTGCGTGTGTGCGCCGAAACGCACGAGACCGAGCGTTGCCTCCGCAGGGACAAGGAAACGTTTCGGTCCACGGGGCAGTACGGGCAAGGAGCTCCTGACCCCGTTCAGACGCGTGCATCAGCATCATCAACAGTATCCCGTTTCCTTTCTCTTCTTCTCGTCCTCCTCCTCCTCCTCCTTTTCCTCCTCCTCCTCCTCCTCCTCCTCATCATCATCATCATCATCATCATCATCATATATTGTTGTTGCTGTAGCGTGGACCGTCCCACCTCCTTGCGGCGCAGCAGGCTGTGAACCGCTGCATGGGGCTGCTACCGGAGCTCGCCGAGTGGAGCGCCAGAAAGGCGAATGAGCGGATGGATGCCCAGAAGCAGGTTCCGGGCCGCTTTGGAGGAAGAGGGGGAGAAGGACCGAGAGTTCTGTAAAGAGAGGGGTCCTGGTGTGACAAAATTGGTAGAGAGTATGTGTACGTATGTAGGTACGTATGTATGTATGTATGTATGTTTGCATGCATGCATGCATTTACGTATGTATGAATGTGGGTGTGTATGTATCTGTGTGTGCGCGTTTGCATGAATGTGCGAATGTGTGTATGTATGTGTTCATGTATGTATATACGTACGTATGCATGTACGTATGTACGTCTGTACGTACGTATGTATGAGTGTTTGTATGCATGTGCGAATATGTGTATGTATGCATGTATGTATGTATGTATGTATGTATGTATGTATGTATGTACGCATGTATGTGTACATGTATATATGTATGTGTGCATGCATGTGTGCATGTAGGTATGTAGGTAAGTAGGTATGCAGGTGTGTTGTGGTGTAGGTATGTAGGTATGCAGAGATGTATGTATGTACGCAAGTACAGATGGTATGTGTGTGCATGTATATGAGTGTGCACGGTCGACTGTATATATGTATGTATGTGTTTACGCATGTGTATAATTGAATGAATGTATACGCGCATATATGTATGTGTATATGTGCATGCATGTATGTATGCATGCCTGACATGTGTGTATGCGTGCGGGTAAGTATGTATGTGTGGTTGGCTGTATGCATGATTGTATGTATATGTGTATGTATGTATGCATGTGGGCATGCATGTCTACATGTATAAATCTGTATATATGCATGTATGTATGCATGCATGACTATATGTATATATTAATGTGTGTATGCATGCAGGTATGTATGCATATACGTGTGCGCATGCATGTGTTTAGGTGTGTTTGTAACGGTATATACATGGGTATCGGAGTGTGGTTATGTTTGTGCATGCTTATACGTGCACATATATATGTGCATGCATATGTATAGTATGATCGCACGTCTATGTATACGTATACGTACATGTGTATGCATGCATGCATGCACGTATGTATGCATGCATGTGTGTATGGATACACGTATCTATGTATGTATGTATGGGTCGATGGAGGTATGTGCGCATGTGTGTATGTATGTATGTATGTATATATATATATATAAGTATGTATATATATGTGTGTGTGTGTGTGTGGATACGAATCGCGCCTCCCCCACCGGGGGCTGGACGCCTCGCAAACATCTCCCGACGTGTCTTGTTCGTACCCCCTCCCTCGGGCCTCCGGGAGGCCTCAGGACGGCTCGGGAGGCCTCCTATGATACGAACGAGCGCCAGCGGATGCCCCCCCCGAATGGAAAGGGGGGGCGCTCGCACAACCTCTTCCTTTAAGCGGGGGGGGGGCGGGAAATGTTGGGACCCCCCCCCCTTCCTGTTGAGAGTGGCGTGGAGGGTTCGGGGCCGAAATGGGGGTGGCACCACATGCGAACCCTGCCGCTCGGGCCTTCGGCGGAGCTTCCTATGGAGCCATGGAGCATGTGAGGGGATGCCGAAATCAGGGGTGGAATCGCATGCGAACCCTGCCACTGGGGCCCCCGCTGGAGCTCCCTACAGGGCCACGGCACGTGTGAGCGGTGTGCCGACACGCAGCGCGGAGCCGCATGCGGATGCTGCCGCTGGGGCCGCGTGTGGAGTTCCCTATGAGGCCTCGAAGCGTGTGAGGGGTATGCCGAAATTGGGGGTGGAACCGCATGCGAACGATGCCGCTGGAGCCGTCGGTGGAGCTCCCCATGGGGCCACGAAACCTGTGAGGGGTGTGCCGAAAAGGGGGTGGAACCGCACGCAGACCCTGCCACTGGGGCCTGCGGTGCAGCTCCCTATGGGGCCTCGAACCGTGTGAGGGGTGGGCCGGAATTGAGGGTGGAATCGCAGACGAACCCTGCCACTGCTGCCTTCGGTGGATTTCCCTCCCTATTGGGCCACGAAACGTGTGAGGGGTGTCGCATGCGAACCACTGGCGCTTTCGGTAGAGCTCTTTAATGGGGCCACGAAGCGTGTAAGGGGTGTGCGGGCATGGAGGGTGGAACCGCATGCGAACTCCTGCCAGTGCCACTGGGGCCTTCGGTGGAGCCTCCTGTGGGGCCACGAACCGTGTGAGGGGTGTGCGGGAATGGAGGGTGTAACCGCATGCGAACCCTGCCAGTGGGGCCTTCGGTTGAGCTCCCTACCGGACCACGAAACGTGTGAGGGGTGTGTCGAAATTAGGGGTGGAACCGCATGCGAACCCTGCCAATGGTGCCTTCGGCGGAGCTCCCCATGGGGCCACGAAACGTGTGAGGGGCGTAAGGGGCGGGAGGAGCGGGGAGAAGGGGAGGGGGGACGAGGAGGAGAGGAGAGGAGAGGAGAGAGGATGAGGGACGCGGGGCGCTGTCTTTTCAAAATGAGGACCCAATACCACACGATGGTTGGACATTAGCCTGACGAAGGACCCAACCATATACAGCTGCGAGTACCGCGAGGGAGATAACACGAAGAATGGGGGCGCGCAACCTCCGAGTAGCGCACGCGGCCAGATGGCGGCCAACAACTCCCCCCCCCCTCGGTGGAGCCCGTTGTGGGGCCACGAATCGTGTGAGGGGTGCACCGAAATCAATATGGAACTGCATGCGAACTCTGCCACTGGGGCCTTCGGTGGAGCTCCCTATGGGGCCACGAGCCGTGTGAGGGATGCGCCGAAACGAGGGTGGAACTGCATGCGAACCTTGCCGCTGGGGCCTTCGGTGGAGCTCCTTATGAGGCCACGAAGCGTGTGAGGGGTGCGCCGAAATGAGGGTGGAATTGCATGCGAACCCTGCCGCTGGGGCCTTCGGTGAAGCTCCCCATGGGGCCACGAATCGTGTGAGGAGGGTGCCGAAATGGGGGCGGACCTGCATGCGAATCCTGCCGCTGGGGCCTTCGGTGGAGCTCCCCATGGGGCCACGAATCGTGTGGGGGGTGCGTCGAATCGAGGGTGTAGTTGCGTGCGAACCCTGACTCTGGGGCCTTCGATGGAAGTCCCTACGGGGCCACGAACCGTGCAAGGGTTGCGCCGAACTGATGGTGGAACTGCATGCGAAACTTGCCGCTGTGGCCTTTGGTGGAGCTCCCTATGAGGCCACGAACCGTGTGAGGGGAGTGCCGAAGCGAGGGTGGAACTGCATGCGAACCTTGCCGCTGGGGCCTTCGGTGGAGCTCCCTACGGGCGATGAACCGCGTGCGAGGAGCACTGAAATGGGGGTGGAACTGCATGCGAACCTTGCCGCTGGGGCCCTCTGTGGAGTTCCGTATGGGGCCATGAACCGTGTAAGGGGTGCGCCGAAACCAGGGTGGAATTGCATGCGAACCTTGCCACTGGGACCTTCGGTGGAGCTCCCTATGGGGCCTCGGCTCGTGTGAGGGGTGCGCCGAAATGACGGTGAAACTGCATGCGAACCTTGCCATTGAGGCATTCAGTGGAGCTCCCTATTGGGCCATGGACCGTGTGAGGGGTGCACCGAAATGAGGGTGGAATTGAATGCGAATCTTGCCACTGGGGCCTTCGATGGAGCTCCCTATGGGGCCACGAAGCGTGTGAGGGGTGCGCCAAACTGAGGGTGGACTTGCATGGGAACCTTGCCGCTGGTGCCTTCGGTGGAGCTCCCTATGGGGCCACAATCCGTGTGAGGGGTGCGCCGAAATGACTGCGGAACTGCATGCACACCTTGCCGTCGAGACTTTCGGTGGAGCTCCCTATGGGGCCACGAACCGTGTGAGGGCGTGCAGAAACGGGCGGGGCACGACGACGATGCTGGTGATGATGACGGCCATACTGGTGATGACGATGGTGCTCACGATGACGATGACGAGCGTGATTATGACGATGATGATGATGATGATGATGATGATGATGATGATGATGATGATGATGCTGATGCTGATGCTGATGATGATGATGATGATGATGATGATGATGACGATGATGATGATGATGATGAGGATGATGTTGATGATGATGATGATGATGCTGATGCTGATGCTGATGCTGATGATGATGGTGATGATGTTGATGCTGATGCTGATGATGATGGTGGTGGTGGTGGTGGTGGTGGTGGTGAGCATGAGTCGGTTGATGTTGATGTGATGATGATGGCGATGATGATGGTGGTGTTGCTGCTTATGATGTTGATGATGCCGATGTCACTGATGATGTTGATGCTGACATTGATGCTGATACTGGTGCTGATGCTGCTACTGATGCTGATGATGCTGCTGCTGATTATGACTATGCTGCTGCTGGTGATGCTGATGATGATGATGATGCTGATGCTGCTGATGATGAGGATGTGGGGGTTGAGGAGGACGATGATGATGATGATGATGATGATGATGCCGAGGAAGATGATGCTGATGATGCTGCTGCTGATGATGATGATGAGGATGCTGAATAGTTAGATGAACATGATGCTGATGCTGATGCTGGCACTGATGATGCTGACTATGGTGATGCTGATGATGAGGCTGAGGAGGATGATGACGATGACGATGAGGATGCTGATGATGCTGCCGATGCTGATGATGATGATGCTGATGATGATGATGAATACGGTGCGGATGCTGATGATGATGACAATGGTGAGGATGATGAGGATGCTGATGATGTTGATTATGATGTTGATGCTGATGATGATGATGCTGATGATAAGGATGATGATGCAGATGAGGAGAGTCATGCTGGAATGAGGGTGCAACTGAAGATAAGGATGAGGATGAGGATGCTGATGCCGATGCTGATGCTTATGCTGCTGATGATGATGCTGATGCTGATGATGATTATGTCGATGCTGATGCTGATTATGATGATGCTGTTGATGCTGATGATGCTGATGATGATGGTGAGGACGACGATGACGATGATGATGATGATGATGATGATGATGATGATTATTATGTTGAGGATGATGATGATGATGATTATGATGATCATGATGCTGATGATGATGATGAGAATGAGGACGAGGATGAAGAGGAGGAGGATGAGGATTGACTGATGACAATGAGGAGGATGAGGATGTCAATGCCGATGCCTATGCCGATGCCGATGATGATGCTGATGATGATACTGATGCTGGTGATGATACTGATGATAACGATGAGGATGATGCCGATGATGGTGGTACAGACGATGGTGATGATGCTGATGCTGGTGATGTTGATGATGATGATGCTGATGATGATGATGGTGATGATGGTGATTATGATGTTGATGATGATGCTGATGAGGTTGATAATAATGCCGAGTATGATGATTGTAATGATGATGCTGATCCTGCTGCTGATGATGATGATCGTGGTTGTGGTGGTGGTGGTGATGCTGATGATGCTGATGATGCTGATTATGATGATGCTGCGGCTGCGGCTGCGGCTGCTGCTGCTGCTGATGATGATGATGATGACGATGACGATGACGATGACGAGGGGGATGAGGATGGGGAGGATATATCTATGTTGTCATCCTATGCTGATGCTGGGCATGCTGCTTAAACCACACTAATCTCATGTCTGGAAATTTTGTGCCACTCTTTGGAGGCATTCCCATCCTGAGGCGCGGCCGTGAGGGGGAGGGATGGGTGAGGAGAGGGCGAGGAGGAGGGGAAGAGGGGATGTGAAACAGAGGACAGGGTGGACGAGAAGGACACGTGGATAGTGCGAGGATGGCAAGGATGGCGAGGAGAAGTGAAGGGGCGGACGAGGATTCGAGCGGAGGGGGAGCGACGAGACAAAGGATAGAGGCGGTGACTGAGGTAGTGCAGAACAACTTGGAGGCCGAGTCGCGCGAGGGCGGCGCGTCGTGGGAGGAGTCAGAGAAGCCGAAATCTGCCCTCCCCCCCTCCCCCCCCTCTTCCCCTTCGGGGGCAACATTCGAATACGACTGGCTCGGGGGGAGGGGGATGCATCAACTCCCAATGGCTAATCGATTGCAGATAGGGACCTGACGGCCCACCCCGCACAGGAACGCACGGACTCGCTATCGGGGGCACATCGCCGATCTATCGGCGGTGTATCGCCGATTCGACGTTTCCCCCCCTGAGCCGGTCCACCCATAACTTGTTCCTCCTCCGCCTAAGCCAGAGTCTTTGGGATACCCGATGTATATCTGCTTTTCCCCCAGCAGCTTGCTGAACGGGGTGCTGTTGCGATAGAAGCTAGTTCCGGCCCATTCAGGCCAGAGCAAATGCATCCTCAAATACATTGTGTGGTTCGGGCCGTTTCGCTCGAGACATCTTCATATCTATCGTTTCCGAGTTGGCACGGGTTGGACGTTTCGTCTGAGACAACCTCGAAAATCGGAGCTCCGAGCTGCCGCCCGCGAGGTGGTCCAACGCGTTTCGCCTGAGACATCCTTGTGATTCTAAGCTTGGAGATGTTGCCCGAGAGGTGGTCGGGCGCGTGTCCCCTGAGACATTCTCACAACTCTGGACTCCGAAATGCCGAGGGGGAGGTGGTCCGGTGCGTTTCCATTGAGATCCTCGCAATTCTGAGCTCCGAGGTGCTGCGCGCGAGGTGGTCCGGCGCGTTTCGCCCGAGACATTCTCGCAGTTCTGGTCTCTGAAATCCTGCAAATTCGTGGATTTGAGATGCCGTGCGCAGGGTGGTCTGGCGCGTTTCGCCTGAGACATCCTCCTAACAGGACGCTCTGAGATGCCGCGCGCGAGGTGGTCGAGTCATCGGGGAGCGATCCGGCGGCTTTGCAGGGGTGTCTCGACCCAGAGCCCCAGATTGGGACACGCATCCCAGACCACCGACGTCATGATTTTTTCATGACGCGGCCCCCAGAGGTCCGGTCCCCTTCCCCGGGACCGGTTTTTCATCCCGAGTCGTTTTTTGACGGTCCCGAGGCCCGGTAAGGGCCCCCAGGGGCCGAAAATCGTGAAAAACCTCCCGTCGTGATTTTTTCACGACCCGAGGGGGTCTGGGATGGGTCGATGTTTGCGAAGATGTCCCGGACGAGAGCACCGGACTGGGACACGCCCGGTGGTGCGCCCCGGCTCGCCCCGGCGCGCTTTTGAGGCCCTCCTCGGGAGGCTCGGGGGGCCGGGTGTTTCGGGGGCTGTCCCGCTTTGACCGTCGGGTGGGTGTAAGTGCGGTAAGAGCGTTGTATATTCGATGAAATCGTTTCAACGAAGATGTATGTAGGTTCATGCGAGTTGACCTCACATACTCAACATACATAAAATATCGAACTCAGCATTCATCTACTTTAACGTTTTGTTAGATACTTATTTTCAACCACATACCATACATACTACTCACAGAACCATCCATCTTATTAACTGAGCTACCGGGTACCACTGCCAATATATAACGATACATACACCTCAACATGTCCAACTTAGTAGCTAAGTCAGCTAAGTCGATGTGGGCTGTCCGTTTCGGTTAACTTGGAATTTGCATAACTTTCTATGTGTTTCATGTTTGTTTTGGATATTGCTATGTTTCGGGAAAACAACAAAAAAACGTTTTAACAACTACAACACGGCAGTTTTTCAGGACAAGGCGCCGCAGGTCGACGCGCCGAGCCGCCCTCAGGACGCCTGCGGGGCGCGGAGGGGAAGGGGGGAGAGGGAGAGGGGGGGGATCAACTATTCTTCAAACTGCCTCCCCTCGGCGGCCATCACCGCCTCCCCTCTCCTCTCCTCGTTGTCGGCGGCCAGCCCGCCCCCGCTCCCTCCTTCCGCCTTCCCTCCCCGAGCCCGCCTTCCTTCTTCGGCGGCATGCCCGCCCCTCCCCCCTGCACCTCTCTATCGAAGGGCGGCATATCCGCCAGCGGCATATCCGCTCTCGCACGCGTTTTTTTTTTTTTTTTTTTTTTTTTTTTTTTTTTTTTTTTTTTTTTTTTTTTTTTTTTTTTTTTTTTTTTTTTTTTTTTTTTTTTTTTTTTTTTTTTTTTTTTTTTTTTTTTTTTTTTTTTTTTTTTTTTTTTTTTTTTTTTTTTTTTTCCTTTTCACGTGATGGCGAGCACATGGCCATCGTCCTGTAGCCGCCGATAAGCCGCCCAGGCTGGCGGGATCAGCCCGGCGGGCATCACGACGACGTCGCCGCGCGGCCGCCACAGGGACGCGCCTGGGCATGGCGCGCGCACCCATTCCAGGGTCTCCACCAGCAGGTAGCTGGCGGCGCCAGCCTGCGCGCAGCAATGCACGATGCACGCCTCGCCGTCGCCCAGGAGAAAATCCTGAGGGCAGCAGCGCCTCGATTTTTTTTGGGCACGCGCACGTGCACCCCTAAGTGCCAAGGTTGGTTGCGCCGTCTGTCCTGGCTGCCGTGCATCTGGCCGTCGATCGACGCTTCTCTGCTGGTCCACGTTTCAGCCCTGCGGAGGGGTTTCTCCTCCTCCTCCTCCTCCTCCTCCTCCTCCTCCTCCTGGCGGCAAGCCGCCTTGGCGGCAAACGGCCTTCCCTTCTCCCAGCCCATCTTCCTCCGCAAAAGGGCATGCAAGGTTGCGCCCCGAGTGCCCAAACGTACTGTCCAGCTCTGGCGTGCGCCAAGCTTTGGCGCGGGAGCGCGGCGCCTCCTTCGCTTCCTCCAGGAAGCAGGCGAGCATCGCCGTCAAGGCCGACAGCTCGAAATTCGCAGGGTTGTCGATCCCCTGCGACCTGGACCGAAGCAGGTTGTGCTTCCGCTCGAGCACGAAGGCGTCCAACCAGATGCCGTCCTCCGCAGGCTGGTCGGGGACGCGCCACAGATAATGGTGCTTCGGCTTGATCAGGGCTGGCCCGTGCGCGGCTTTGTGCAGGGCCAAGGAAATCGAGGCGGCCTTGTTCCGGACAGCTATCAAATTCGGCACGACGCCGACCCTCAGGACGTAGCCGAAACGCCCGCCACCCAAGCGCTCGAGGGCGCGCGCGGGCCGACGCGGTGCATCCTCGAACGCGCAGGCCAGCGTTTGCGTTTCAGCTGCGGCCGCATGTCCTGTTGCCCTGCATGTGCAATTCGAGCAGCGTCGCCATCGCCTCGAACGACCGCGCCGCAGCGTTCGCCACGCCGCTGGGACGCAGCTCTGCGTGCACCCAATGACGAATCAAAGGGAACACGGCCGCGCAATCCGACGCCTTGCCCACGAAGTGCGACGCCTTGCAGGCCGCTTCCTTCCGAGCCACGCTGAACAGAAACGCTGGCGGTTTCCCGCCGCGTCTGCCAGTCCGCCGCGCCGAGCAGCGACCCCGCCGCGTTCCCCGCGCGTCGGGGGTGACATCCCTCATCGCCTTGAGGAGCGCAGAGATTTCGACCTGCAAGGTCCCGCCGCTGGCCAGCATGGCATGCACGGGGTCCCTCGCGTATGTGTTCGGCGGCGCCACCGTCCGCAACGCCCGGCACGCCACCAGAGAGAACGGCCATCCAGAGCGACGCCCATTGCCGTCTCCTTCGGGGGCCGGAACATCAGAAGGGAAGGGGGGGGGGGCATCAGAAGGGGATCGATGGACATGTTTTCCTCCCTGGCTCCAGTCTCTCGATGTTCGCTCTGGTTGTCGTGTCCCGCAGCGGCGCCAAATCGTCGCGTTGCCGCAAAAACTCGTCTGACGACAGCGGGGCAAAGCGCGACGAGCCAGCGCGCCAGAGAGGCACGAGGTAATCATCGTCGTCGTAGTCTGCAAGACATTCCGCCTGATCCAGCACAACGTTCTTGCGTTGCAAGCACGGTCTCAGACCTGCAGCGCCCTTGGTGCAGAATGTGTCTTTTCCAGCCGCCTCGTCTGCAGTCGAGCGGTGGAACTTGGCGAAAAAGCGCACGCCGCCGATTGGCGCGCCGTGCTCCGACAGACTCTCTGGCCCCAGGAACAGCGCGCGAAGCAATGCCCGCGCCGCGGCCGAGCCGCCGATGCTCTTCTTCACGACGACGCGCAAGGTGCCGATCGGCAGCCACGCAACCTCCTTCTGCAAGAAGGATCCGAACTCGAGGAAACTCGCATACACCGCGAGCTGATTCCGACGATTATCTATCTTCAAGGCGTTGCCCACGCCAATGTCGTCGTAGTACAGCAAAAGCCTCCACGGCCGATCGCGCGACACAGGGAAACGGCGCATCGCTTCCCAAAACATTGAACTCCAGAGAGGGCAGTCCGACAGGAGCCTCGGCATCAGCCGATGCGGCAGCGCCACGCTCCATCGGAAAGGCGTGCCGATCTTGGGCTGCAGCCGCACTGCGCTGATGAGATCGGCCACGGATGCCGTCTGCGATCGCTGCATGGCCCGAGCGCTCACGTCTATAGCATCGCCCGCGTCGTCGCCATGGCCAAGCGCAGTCGCGATTCGCTCGAGCAAAGCCGCGGACACGCCGCGCAGGGCCAGACACTGTTGCAGTCGAGCCCGCTGCTCCACCTGCTTGTCCACCTGCAGGGCGCGTTTCCCCATTGCGCCGACGCCCGCGCGCGGGAGGGGCGGGGGCGGGGGGCAGCGCGAGGCCCAGTGCGGTTGAGAAAAACGAATTGCAGCCAGAGAGACGGAAGTGGAGGCGGGAATGGATCGCGGGGCGGAGTAGCCGCCGAAGGGCATGGCGGTGTAGCCGCCTGAAGGGTCGGGAGGGGCGGCGTAGCCGCCGAAGAGCGTGGGGGCGAGGGGGCATGGGGGGAGGGGGGAGGGGGGAGGGGGGTGGGTGGGGGAGATTGCGGAGGCGCGAAGTGAGCGTAGCAACGGAGCTTGCAAGGGAGATTTCTTTTTCTCGCACGCAGTCGTTTAGGGTTTCAAGCTCGGGTTTCAATATCGGAGACGGGCGCGGCTGGCGGCTCTTAGTGCGGGTGCGCGTGCTGCCTCCAACTCCTCATCCCCCTCCTCCTCCTCTCCTCATCCTCCCTCCTCTTCC